AAACTCAGAATTGCGAGATATAAACATAATTGTGATATAAACTCAGAATTGCGAGATATAAACATAATTGTGATATAAACTCAGAATTGCGAGATATAAACATAATTGTGATATAAACTCAGAATTGCGAGATATAAACATAATTGTGATATAAACTCAGAATTGCGAGATATAAACATAATTGTGATAAAAACTCAGAATTGCGAGATAAAAACTCAGAATTGCGAGATATAAACTCAGAATTGCGAGATATTAAATCAGAATTGTGAGATATAAACTCATATTTGCGAGATATAAACATAATTGCAAGATATAAACTCAGAATTCAGAGAAAAAGTCAGAATTACGAGAGAAAAAAAAGTCAAAATTGCAAGATACAACCTTTTATATTTATATCTCGCAATTCTGACTTTTTTATATAGATAAAAAGTCGCAATTACCTTTTTAATATTTTTCATTCTGTAGCGGTAATGGGTTTCCGTAATACCATCCAATCAGTTCCAGATGACAAAATCAAGATTTTTTATTCTCAAATATGTAAAATTACAACTGTAAATTGCTTACGAAACACCATTTCATGTTGACTTCAGAGAAGCATCAGTACTGAAGTTAAATCTGGTCCTTAGCAGTCAAACAGAAGCTAAGACAGACGATGCAAATGCAAGATATATTGATTATTGTGCTATTTCAAATCGCATTCAAACATCTGAAGATGTCCTTCCGCTCATGAAACCTGACACTGAATGTTTAATTCCTAGATTTTTGGTGAGAACTGGCTGATATCTCCAAATCCTCCGGTGTGCCGAGCCTGTAAAGCTCCCGAAGGAAGCTGATTCGGACTTCCACTGTCCCACCACAATGATGCCACTGCCGTGGTGCAGTCAGTCCCAAACAGCTCTGATTCTCCGTTCAGATGGGAGTCAGAGCTCACAGTCACAGAAGTGTCCGTCTCTCTCTCGGGACTCTAGAGGTTGTTCTTCTCTGTGCTCTCCGCTTCTGTGCTGCGCGGGAAGTAGACGGTGGTCTTGTGCTCTTCGTAGCGGTCGATGTGCTTCAGGTGAACCACCATGTGCAGAGCGTAGGCCAGCACCAGCAGCAGGATCAGAGACGTGATCAGACCCATCAGGATGGCAGGAGTGAAGAAGGTCGCGCAGTCGCTGGCCGCCACAAACTTACTGGAGTGAACGTTAAACGCCTGGATCTGTGAGGAAAAACACAAGAAACAGCAGATGGTAAGATGTTGAATCCTTAAAAACTATTTTCCAGTTTACAACTTGTCTATCTATCTATCTGTCTATCTGTCTATCTGTCTGTCTGTCTATCTATCTATCTAACTGTCTGTCTATCTATGACCTGATGGAGAGGCCTCTTAGATCTTCCACATCGCCAAAACGTAGATTGAGTCTGGAGAATAACGAAATATGTCACAATATTATTAAATATCCATCAAGTCAAACGTGTAAATTCACATTTTTTGTCAAATTTTCCTTCTCAATAAAGCATCTTAAACCAGGCTGAGGTAGTTTTTAGCTAGGCCAGGCTTTAATCATTTATGTATGGAAAAGACATCAGAGCATGTCCAGATAATATTTCACTCCAAAAGCAAAAATGCATTGTGACAATAAGCAGAAGATAATATAATATATTATATTATAATGATATAAAATAATAATAATATAATGTTTTTTACATTTTATTTTGGGGTGAAATGCAATCAATTCACTGCAATGCAATTCACTGGTGAAAAAACGACATTTATGTTTGCAGCTGAACTCACGTGGCTTTGTCTTTGCTGCAGAAGGAGCCTTTGGTGTCCACCGGTGCGTCTGGGCTGAAGGTTCTCTCTGTGAGGTCCACTAAACTGTGATTCCTGTACCTGATGGCTAGTTTGCGGGCTCTGAAGAGGATGCAGGTCTTGCCATTGTAAGAAACACTCAGAGGAGAGTACAGCAACATTCCCGGAGACTGAAGCAGCTTCCTGCGTGGAGGAGCGTGAAGCTGCCATCCGTACGGCTGAAACCAGAGCAATTCACAGTAGCATAAGCAACATACACTATCGTTCAAACGTTTGAGGTCGGTATTATGGTCTAATTATGTGTAGAATTTAATAATATGTACAAATTATTGTGACAACACACATCCAGGTTTGGGGTTTGTAAGACGTTTTAAATGTTTTTGAAAGAAGTCTCTTCTGCTCAACAAGGCGGCATTTTTCTGATTAAAAATACAGAAAAAACTATAAAATTGTGACATATTTTTATAATTTAAAATAACTGTTTTCTATGACAGTATATTGTAAAGTGTAATTTATTCCTGTGATCAAAGCTGAATTTTCAGCATCATTACTCCAGTCCTCAGTGTCACGTGATCCTTCAGAAATCATTCTAATATGCTGATTTGCTGCTCCAGAAACATTTATGATTATTATAATGTTGAAAACAGTTGTGCTGCTTCATGTTTTTGTGGAAACTGTGATAAATGTAGTTTTTCAGCATACTTTGATGAATATGAAGTTCAAAAGAGCAGCATTTATTTGAAATAGAAATCTTTTGTAACATTATAAATATATTTACTGTCACTTTTGATCAATTTAATGCATCCTTGCTAAGTAAAAGTATACATTTCTTTCAACAATAGTGCATGTAAGGCTAGCTGTCATACCTGTGGGGTAAATTGTTACAATATAATCTGCTAGCATAAGGTTTTAAGTTAAATCTAAACCTATAATAATCCACAAAACTGTTGATTGAACTGCAAAAATGTAAACTGTAACATACCAAACTAACATGTAAACCAGATGTTCTGGCCAATATACAGTGAATTGTAATTCAGTTCAATTCAAAAACAATATGCCGTAATAAAAGTCTGACAGCTCCCCCAAGTGGGCATTTATGAAAATACTCTTGCATGTGACAAGTAGCCTTGTTCTCCCCTATGCTGTGAAATAAACGTAATAACAGTTCACAGAAATCATATTTGGAAAGGGAATTATAGACTTTTGGGGCACCGTAACGTATCCTAAATCAGAGTGAAATTCCTGATTAAAAATGTAGCCTGTCTGTAATCTGTTTTTCCAAAGACCATGCAGTCTGTCAAGGATTAAATTCATCTGCTTTGGACGTTTGGAGGGAAAGCTGCACCCCAGCGGCGGCACAAGGTCACATTGGCTCGGCTCGTCTCACCTGCAGCGCTTCAGCCGCAAACACCGAGCCGTCAGCGTCCACCCCATCTGCACAACAACACCGACATCAGGTGACCAGAGACTCGTTTCATTACTAAATCTGCTTTAACAACGTCGTTTGCACTGCGCTCTTGCGTTACTTGATCTTTTTATTTTATTTTTATTTTCAACGAGCAGATAAAGGTGGAGGGATAGTGGTTATGAATACTAATACATACGTTGAGAAAATAAAAGGGATGTTACATGATGAGACATTTTATAAGAAACTTGTATGTGGAGTAGATTTTGTATAACAGGTTTAACAGCAAAGTTTTGATCATTTAAAGGCCTTAGAAATGTGTGTATCAAATATGATAGCCTATATATGGATGTACAGGGTTGCAAAAACCATTGAAGATATCATCAAAATAACTTACTTTGTTGAATTCTGATGTCTTGGGATGGTGCGTCATCTGAGCTGTAAGTAGGAGAATTTAATGAGTGCATTATTAATCAGATAAATACCTTCATAAACAACTGAAATCATTTTTATAGTTGGATACAATCATTCAGTCTCAGCTGCAGATCGGATCTTCACGCGTTATGAATATGAATGAGATACAGGAGGCTTTGATGCTGTGAGTCACTGCTGGAACGTCACCGTCCGTGAAGTGAGACGAAGTCACTTTGCTTTTGTTCCCGCAGGATATTTCTCAGTTTTGCTTCCTTTAAGTATTAGCTTTGCTTCAGACGTTTCTCCCGAAAAGCCGCGGGAGAAATAAATATACACACAAATGAGTCCGTTAACATGTAGCAAGAGATATAAAATCAATATGGAGAACAGCTCGGATTATTTGATGAGAATAAGATGAGAAATGCTCAAGTTCATATTGAAATCGTATTGAGATATCTTGAAAAAGGTTTGAGATGTTGTTAAAGGAATATTTCACCCAAAAACAAAAAATCTGCTAATAATGTGCTCACCCTCAGGCCATCTTAGATGTAGAAGAGTTTGTTTCTTCATCAGGTTTGGAGAAATGTAGCATTGCATCACTTGCTCAGCAATGGATGCTCTGCAGTGAATGGGTGCCGTCAGAATGAGAGTCCAAACAGCTGATAAAAACATCACAATAATCCACAAGTAATCCACAGCACTCCAGTCCATCAGTTAACATCCTGTGAAGTGAAAAGCTGCGTGTTCAAACCATTGCTTTCTGCTAAAATATGAGTCCATAATCCATAATCCATCCGCTTCCTCCAGTGAAAAAGTCCATCTCCTGTTGTCTCTCACATCAAAATCCATTTGTTTAGAGCTGTTTTGGACTGTTTTTGCTTGTAAACTGTGTTTGAACTGTGCAGATTTCTCTCCTGATTCAGACCAGACGACTTTTTCACTGGAGGAAGCGTTATTATGGATTATGGACTCCTGGTATTTTAACCAGAAGCAATGGTTTGAAGTTAAAACGGCTTAATGATGGATTTGTTTCTTACAAACACGCAGGTTTTCACTTCACAAGACATTAACTGATGGACTGGAGTGCTGTGGATTACTTGTGGATTATTGTGATGTTTTTATCAGCTGTTTGGACTCTCATTCTGACGGCACCCATTCACTGCAGAGCATCCACTGGTGAGCAAGTGACGTAATGCTACATTTCTCCAAATCTGATGAAGAAACAAACTCATCTACATCTCTGATGGCCTGAGGGTGAATACATTATCAGCAAATTAAATTTTTTTGCATGAACTGTTCCTTTAAGATCTGTTCAGAAACACAGGTGAGATTCCCATGCAGGGTCTTTTTTCTCAGGAGAAACATCTGAGAAGCAGGAGACGTCTCAATTTGCACTTCTTTTAACCTGTTGCTGTCTAGGAGAAACGATTGAGATCTGATGTGTGATTTTCTGCTGCACGTTCTTGTGATTTCTTCAACAGTAAGTGGGATTACTGGAAGATGAACAGTTTAACTGTTTAATCACTGAGTAATGCTGCTGAAATGGACTTAACCTCGTTCTCAGACCTGATTATGAGTCAGTCTGACCGGCGCTGGCACATAATGTCGGTCAGGGATCAAAGTAAGACGTGAAGATGTCTTTGGTTAGCGAGGATGAAAGATGAAGCAGAAGACTCATATATAAATATAAAACACAAATAAATTGATGTTTTCTTTTGCGTGAGCCACAGCTCTGTTTGGAATGCTTAACTGTGCATATAAATAATCTATGGTGTGTGTGAAGAATTAATAGTGTTTTCAGAGTCAAGCATCAGTCACTAGCTAGTGCTTCAGCGTTAACTCGTCCTCTTTGTGCTGCTTTAACACCTTAGCAACTGCATAGCAACCACTCACATTTTCTTCCGAAAATGCAGAAAAGTAGTTCTTTTTAAATTCATAGCAGTGTTGTTATTGTGAACTAACACTAAAACTACTCAAATCATTTTATTAAGTGAAATTAAGGTGAAATCAAATAAAATATAAATATTAAATGAAAAAAACTAAAAAAATAAAGCTAAACTAATAGACATGAAAAAAACTCATAAAATTGATCAACTTTAGTTCATTCAAAATTTTTATAAAAACTATAATAGTAAATAAATAAAACTAAAATAACACTGATTAATAGTCTTTTATATATACAATATACTATACTGTTATATCAGTGTTATTTTAGTATCTATGAAATACTATTAGTTTTTATTAATATTTTGAATAATTTTTATACATATTTTCCTTTTCAGTTTTATTTTAGTAATTTTGTTGTGTGTTTTTGTAATTCTTAGTAGTTACAGTTTTTATTGTCTATATAGTTTTTATTAATTTTATTTCAGTTTTAGCTATTTTAGTTAAACTAAATTAAAATGAAAAATGTTGCTTTGGCAACTAAATGAGATAAATAAAATTCAGGCAATTAAAATGTTGGCAATTAGCTGAAATAAACAGTATTTATATGTTTTAATTTATATCAGTTAATGTTTACTTTTTTTCAAGTAACAAAAATGGTTTTAGTTTTAGTAATTCATTTTTGTTTTTGTCTGTATATATCATATAATGTTTAAATATAAAAAAATTGCAATATTAAACTGCAAATATTGTGTATTTAATTTCTTGCAATGTAAAATGCATTTATAGCAACACATTTTTTTATTGTTTTTGCTATAGTTAACTAAATCTAAAACTGAAACTAAACCCATAAAACATTTTTGTTACTTCAAATAAAATAAACTTTAACTGAAATAAATTAAAATAATAAAAAAACTTTTTATTTCAGCCAGTTGCCAACATTTTTCATTTTAATTTGGTTTAACATGATACTAATACTAAACTAAACCTGAAAAAAAAAACTAAAAAAAAAACTAAAAAATACTATAATAGTATCTCAGTGATTCTAAAATAACACTAAAAATTATTCTAAATTAATTTTTGCAGGCAAACATGTCAAAGTTAGCATGCCACAAATACCATCAACACACTTGCATTTAAGAAATATTTCTTTTATACAACTTTAACCACTGCTTTTCAATACTAAAAGCATGTATTTGTTGTTGCTGTGCATCTTCAAGCCAATCTAAATATCATTTATCACCTCAGCGCAGCAGATAGAGTGACCCTGTGAGTGCGGATCTGCCCTTGTCCATGCAGGAGGTGTTGTTTGTTTACCTGCCCTGTAACAACAGCAGACCTTTGACGTTTCTTCTGATTTTCTCATAAACGGCATCAATAATTCGCTCTCTCGGACGGCTGCGTCAAATGAACAGAAGCCCACGAGGGAGATGCCGGAGGGTTTGTGTTCTGTTATTGTTGCATAACTATATTTAGCAAAACAGAGAGTCTGCATCAAGCGAACTTGACCTGCATGGCTCCATCCAAAACAACAACCTGAGCGAATAAAGTATAGCCAGATAGAGAAGGAAAGCTTAAAAGAAACACAAATCCCTCCTTCTGTCTGCTTCGGCAGTGGCTCATCCGTTCAGCGCTGTACCTGAACATGTGGGCCAGTGTGAAGGGCCACAGTCGGCACATTTATATAATCAATGAAATCTGCTGACCGCTTCGAAACGCATGCAGCGTATTTCAGATTAGAGTGTCTTTTAAGTTCTGCCGGCATCTAGATGCTTCACCAAATCAAATCTGTTAATACACAGCTAAAGCCTGGACTGGCCTGCATGTAGTAAAACTCCATCTGTGCAAGTGGAGAAACGCTACACGCTTTCAGCTCCTACCAAGCAATATGCTGCCAATTAGAGCTGTGTTTTATACAAACTGCAATATGAAGTAGACTGCAGAGAAACTCGACGTATGTGCCCATAATAAAACGCCAACTGCTTAGAAAACAATACCAAGAGTTGCATTCACTGTAAAGAATTTTAAAAAATTAAATTATTCGAGTATGTTTTACAAGAAAATGCTATTTTAGTTTTTCATGTTATTTGCTGTTTATTTGTAATTAATTGTGAAATGTATTTACTAGCAATTTACACCATTATTTTTATTTTAGGGGAACACATTTGCTTTTTATTTTGCTGATTTATTTACGTGTTTATTTACTTATTCTTTCAGTTTTTGTACAGTGCATAAGTGTGTCGAGAACTTAAATAGATACATAAATAGATACTCTGGTTTTCTAGAAAAGAAAAGAAAAGAAAATGGCAAAAATTGCATTTTTTGCTGGGGTTTTTTTTCTTCTGTGTTTATTTACTTATATTTCTTTCAGCATTTTTACAATACATTAGTGTGCCAAATGAAATATATTTTGAGGTTTTCTGGATAAAATTAAATAAAATAAAAAATGGCAAAAATTAAATTTTTTGCTGGTTTATTTTCTGTTTATTTACTAGCCTATGTGTTTATTTACTTATATTTCTTTCAGCATTTTTACAACACTTAAGTGTATCAAATTAAATATTGAGGTTTTCTGGAAAAATATAAAATAAAGAAATAACATAAAATAAAATATTAATGCCTTAGGCACCATCTGGTGGATAAAGATAAAATGCCAATCTGCCATCTTGTTGAAACACCTGAATTTAAAATTGCATGCTCAAAAAAGTTTTTTTTTTTTAATGATTAATTGTTTTAAAATTAAAAATTAATTAATTTAAATAATATTTTAAAAATTCTACATTTCTGTTTTTGCACCCTCAACTAGTTTTACTGTGTTTATTGTGAGTATAATGTGTATGTTGTGCATGTTTTAGTGTAATTTTATGGTATTGTCTATTGTAAATTCTAATGATCTTAATAAAATGCTAATAAAATCTACCTGTCTATCTATAAACAAGACAAAATCAACAAACTCATTGACACAAAAAGTTATTCATTCATTAGTGCATCAAAAGATCAATTATTAATAATAAACAGGCCCCAGGCTCATTTATATAATAAATAAATGATTCATAATGCAATCCTGCAGTGTGAATCTACAAATGATAGGTCTATGTGACGCTCAGCCCAACAATAAATGGTACATGAATCAGAATTCAATTAAAAAAATTAATATTTCATTCATATTATCATCTCAGCATGAAGCTCAAACAGATGCTCCACATTCCTTCAGTGATGCTGATCATTCCTGCATCCCGACCTGCTCTCATCTTATCCAACACACATCTCTGCCTCCAGTTTTAGTAGCAAATATGGATTTGCCTGTAAACTGATGCTGATGGATTTTCTCTTGTGTTTCACTGCAAGAGCCCTGAAGGGTGGACAAAGGAGGCGAGCACTAGTTTGTCTCTGTCACACCAGTTCATCAGCGTTTAATAAATGCATAGATGCACAGTCAGTGTATATATAGTCTTTGTTTCTCCCGGTTTCACCATTTCAATAAACGGGACGCCTAAAAGACCACGTCTCTGGCTTCTTTCAAAATAATCCACTCACCTTCCTTCCACAAAGGCAGACAGCTGCTCATAAGACGAGGATATCTGCAGGAAAACAAAAGAAAATAACGCAAGAGACATTGGGCGCCACGTTGATGCCATGTATACATCCAGATGAGTCTGCCAGAGATGATGCTGAAGCTGCTGCTTCATAATCTGCCCGGATAACGGGGCGCAACCTCAGCGATGATTGACAGGCGCGGCGACCAATCAACGTCCAGCCGGCGACGCGGCCACGCCCCTTCACAGAGCGTGTGCTGCTGACACAGTGATGCACAAACCAGCAGAGCCATACAGTCTATGTGAACGACTGATCCATGAGACTAAACTAATTAGGTGCATAATTAACGAACTTGAGACAATGCTATTGATTGATAACTGTGGCAGAAGGTCGAAATTGTTCCTACATTATTTTGCTTATTATGTGTGAAGTACATTGCACTGCTTCTGTAGTGCACATTAACCCTCAGCTGCTGTTCGGTCATTTTAGAGCGAAAAAAATGTTTTGGATTTTTATGGCAGTCGCTATGTGACCACAAAAAATGAATAAATAAATAAATAAAATAAAAATCATCATGGACTTGGTTCGAAAAAGCTAAATGGTGTAAAAAAAAAAAGTTCACGGTCAAAAAGCCATTGGAAATGAATGGGAAAATACACAAAAATACACAAAAATAATTGTGTGTGCAGTCTACAAATCATTCACAGTGCAGGAAAAAAAAAGTGCACAGCAATGAAGGGGTGACACTTTAAAATATCAAGAGTGCAAAATAGACACATATATGAACTATTTTGACTGTAACACAAAGCATGTTTTTGCAAATGCGTGAAATAAAATCAATAATTCAGCCACAATGCAGTAAAAACAGAAACCAAGGAAGGGGTGACACTCTAAAACATCAAAAGTACAAAACAGACACACACACACTCACTTACACACACACACACACACACACACACACACACACACACACACACACACACACACACACACACACAGGTTTGTTTTTGTGAAAAGTGGGGACATCCCATAGGCGTAATGGTTTTTATACTGTACAGACCGTATATTCTATTGCCCTACACCAACCCTACCCCTAAACCTACCCCTCACAGGAAACTTTGTGCTATTTCAGATTTTCAATACACTCCATTCTGTGTGATTTATAAGCGTTTTGAAAAGTGGGGACATGGGGTAATGTCCTGAAAAGTCACCTTCTCCTTGTAATACCTATGTCGTACCTTTGTCATTATACAAATTTATGTCCTCATTTGTCACAAAAACGCGCGCACACACACACACACTGATGTGGCTGTAACAATATGGCAAAATTGAGCCAGAAGTCACAAATAAGAGGTTGAAATCAGATTGATTAACCTCTGATAAAGCATTTCTGTTCATGTTTGTTACATTTTTGTTGAACTTTGATGTTAACAAAATATCTTTCTTTGTGTTCAGGTTTGACTGTAGTAAAATTAATGCAAAAACTGACATTTCAAACCAAAAAAATCTAAACCTTCAAAAAGTTGTCTTAATATTTCTAATGTCTAAATATATATCCAAATCCACAACTTAATAAAAATAAGTATTTATGCCTTTTTTATATATAGCGCTATATAGCAATCTAGTGGCTAAACCATGGAACTGCAGATGTTTTTTCTTTTTTTTACTCCCACCAGATGGCACTAATCTGCATTGCCTATATTTTAACATGAAATACTGCCACAATTGAAAAGTAAAAGAATTTTTTTTTAAAAAAAATAAAATTTTCAATGGGAAAAAATTATTATAATTATTGCATAAATATTAATTAGTACCATAAAATTCTCTCAAAATACAAAAGAAAAAATATTATTGGAACAAAAATATATTACATTGATTTGACTGAAAAAAAAGTTACATTTCAGGTGTTCAGTTGTCACTTTTGACCACGAACAACGCAAGTGTGACTCCCAAATGAACAATACCAGAGGGTTAATGGGCACAATAGAAATACATGATAAAAATTGTTTATAGGCCTACACTAGATAGAGGCTACATTTCAGTAGGTATTAAACCCAAAGGGTATTTATTTATTGATTTCCCATTTATATATATAGTTGTTACAAATAATAATAGGCTATATTTCAGTATTAAACCAAAAGGGAAAATTTACTTATTAATGTATTTATTTATTTTAAATATATGTATTTCTCATTTCAATTATACAAAAAGTCCAGTTCCACTTATAAAGTAAACAGAAAAAGAAAAAAAAACTATTTGGACACTTACATTAAGTTTATTAAGGTCATTGCATTCATTCTCAAAATATTATGGCGTACCATATTGCTGCATGAGTATTGTAATCATAAATGATTATGCATGTTTTCCGATCACAATTAAGTAGAGATTTTTAATACAATATTTTGACTTGGATGACGGTAAAATAAATCAGATTAACTAAATAAAAGTGGTAGTTCTGTCATACAAATAGAGAAATTAAAAATAAAATGGCTGAAACTCTAATCCTTTCTTAATCTGTAGTATTCAATCAAATGAGCGTTGATGATTTATGCACAGGCGCTCGCTTTGGCTGCCCGCAGGGTCCTTCCAGCAGTCATTTGCACATAGCGTCACGTGATCGCTCTTTCCTGTCCGGACTCGGAGCACGCGATCATGGGTACGTGTGAGGCGGCAATAAAACCGCTCAAAACGCTCGAATACTTGGTTTTACCACACAAGTGTCTCGGTTTACATGTTGTTAAAAGTGTAATGCATACGTTTCGACAAAGTGGTGCTTGCTATGAGGCGGGTTTTGTCGCTATTTTGTGTTGTATAACGGAGGCATCGTGGAGCGGGCCTAAGCTGCGAAAACATGAAGCACAGACAGGATCTTTATTTAGACTCCTACTCACAATATTAAACTACTTTTCACTTGTTACGCAGATTTTATATCGTAAATCATATTTGCATGTTGTATAATATAATTTAACTGCTTTAAAATTGTGGCAGCATGTTAGGCTAATGCTAGTTTGAATCTAGTCCGACCCTCTATAGAAGAATTATATGGTTTTTGATTTTAAACCGCTAATCAGAACCAGCAAGGCCTGTGATTATGGTTTGTATTTTGATGGTTGCTGTCAGGAGATGCTCAAGTGACCAACAGCATCTTCTGTAGCTTTAATATGGATGATTACGTTGTACAGAGTTTCCACTTCATAGTCGATTCTATTCCAATGTAGAGTAGGTATGTGACGGTATCAAGTTTTCATGTTGCGATATTTGATTAAGCTTTTATCACGGTATACGGTATTATCGCGGTTTCGGTAAAAAAAAAGAAGAAGTTTTTTTTGTCGTCACAACAGGTTTAATAACTTTTTTAATATAAAAAGAACTGGACATTTAAATACAATAAAGGAATACACAAAAATGTCTAAAGTAAACAAATGTTCCTAACAGATTAAAGTGCAAAAGAATTATAAAGAACAATGGGTAAGTTTACAGTAAGGTCTCATTAGTTAATCTTAGTTAATGCGTTCAAATTAACAATGAGCAATAGCTACATTCATTACAGAAGTTACTATTTTTACAGCTGTTAATTCATATTAGCTTGGGTCCATTAAATAGTACAGTTAACTTTCCCTGCCAGCATTTTTGAAAAAAAGTTACCAGCGATTTTGATTTTCACAAAAATTTGATGACCTCCAGTATATTTTGCTGTATGAATATTTAAATATGCAATATACCAAAATAAAGATCTGTTTTATTCTAACTTGAAGCATTCCTTTTTTTTAATCAACACTTGAATATAGGTAGGTTTCATTAAAAATTCATAATTTTGAGCAAAAAGGTGAGAAAATAATTTTTATCAAAAACATCTGGATAATATTCAGTACGATTATTAAAGCATAAATCCAGTAAATCGCTTCCATCAACACCTCCAAAGCTTGCACAGACATATACCACTTCCTGGATCAACATAAAAACTCGTCTTTGGCGGGGAAGCGTTTTCTTCTAAAAGACAAGATAACTCGTCAATGGCGGTGGAAAGAGTTAATAGTGTTATTAAATGTTGAAATGAACTTTAATGTTTTTTTTATTGGCAGTTGTTAACTAATAAACTAATGTTAAATTATGGAGCCTTAATGTAAAGTGTGACTGAACAATAAAGCATCAAAACATTTTCAAACAATATCAAGGGCGTGTTGTAGTCCAGATTAAAATATAAAACATTTTGAAAACAAATAGCTTATTAAATCTAAAGGTCCTTGTACAAAATTTCCACGCGATAAAAAAAAAAATACGATCTCGCGTTGTCCGTGCTAGAAACGCAAAAAATGTTACCTGATCCGATTTTATGAATGACGAAAGTTTTGGAGGCAGTGTGTAAACGTGATTGAGACAACGTGAGGCCGTATTTTTTAATGTGCGAAAATTTCGGTCTCTGTGTGCAAGTACCTTGAGTCTTTTAAGTATTCAGGGCTGCTATGAACACCATAGCGAATATAAAAATCTGAATGGCTCGAAACATTTCAATCCTGCTCAGAAACAAGTAGCGCAGCTGCTTTATGGCTGCATTTCTGCTTTTCCATCAGCGCCATCTGCTGTCAGAGAGTGAATGTGCGCTTTCATTCAGCGCATCTCCTTCACTCGTTCCGCATACAGCGGTGTTGAGCATTTTAACCAGTCGATGCGAAAAGTATTCTTAAAATGCATTAAAAAAACCTGAATAATTTGTAATAAATTATTCACGGCATTTTGAAGTGCCCGCGATAACAATATCGTGCATGTTCATTATCGTGATATATCGTATAACTGAATATTTTAGAGTAAATATAAATTTCTGTAGTTATACTCTCAGCTCTGATGTATTTTCTTATAATTGCAAACTATTAGATGTTTCAAACTGGTCCAAATGTGTAGGATGCTGGGTATTTGTAAAAAAACAAAACTCTTCTTATGCCTTTCTCTTTTTCCTCCTTCAGGCAAGTGTCGTGGACTGCGTACTGCTAGAAAGCTGCGGAACCACCGCCGCGAGCAGAAATGGCATGATAAACAGTACAAGAAGGCCCATTTGGGCACTGCTCTGAAGGCCAACCCCTTTGGTGGAGCGTCTCACGCCAAAGGCATTGTGCTTGAGAAAGTGTAAGAGGCCGTGTTTGTCGAGACTGATGAA